GATAATGACTTAAAGAATTGTAATAACCCTAAGAGTCTAACAGGCTATCTATAACCCAATAATTAGTGCTTAATTTTTTAATTTCAATATTTCAGGTAACATGTGGGCTCAAACTTGGAATAACATAGAGTCGTTCACTCGCCCCTACCCCGACAAGAAGGAGGTGGATATAACTCAGGCGATGCAGGAACAGAATTACACAGCTCTTAAGATGTTCCAAATGTCCGATGAGTTCTTCAGGTCGTTGAACCTAACAGCCATGCCAGAGAAGTTCTGGAAGAATTCAATCATAGAGAAACCAACTGATAGAGAAATCGTGTGTCATGCGTCGGCTTGGGACTTTTATGATGGCGAAGATTTTAGGTAAGATTAATTTAATTTCGCGACAAGAGGGAAATCGGTGACGTCATTTCAAAGCTTAAAAGAAAATATTGCAAGCATCGGGTTCTTATAAGATTGTCGTATAATTAAAATAGATGGCGCTGTTATTAATAGTTTTTTGTATTGTGAAAATGAATAGTTTTTAAAATGTGTTCTGTAATAAATACAAATGGTTATGAAAACTTTGTTAAGAGTGTATTGTTGATATTTGGTGGTGGGTTTTTTAAATAATACGATTATGTATGTATTTTTCCAAATTGTTTTCGTTACATGTCTGGCTAAATTTGAAGGATCAAACAGTGCACCACTATAGATTACGAATATTTCCAAACGACGCACCATGAAATGGGTCACATTCAGTACTTCCTACAATACAGAGATCAGCCAGTTATATTCCGGGACGGAGCGAACCCAGGTAAATTGCTTTTTTTTGTAATACAGGATCAAAATGTGTACGGTGATGAATAAAGAGCACTTGAGGGTAGTCCATCACGAAATGGGCCATGTACAGTATTATTTGCAGTACAGACATCAGCCCAATGTATTCCGAGCTGGAGCTAATCCAGGTGATGCTGTCTTATCGATATCATTTTCGCAGATATCATATTTCACCATAGATATGTCTCATTTCATTTGTTTTTGTTTTGATTGTTTTGTGTATTCATTTGTTTTTAGTATAATCTGCATTATTTGTTTTCTAAAATTCATTATTTTTCTTTTATTTTTTTTTTATTAAATGTTAATAACATATTATTTATTTATATTTGTTAATAATTCTTGAACTTCGCTTATATCAGGTTAATAATTTGCATGTTGTGTTAGTGTTGGTTTTTAAACTTTTTTTTTTTATATATATCTTTAGTTAATTTTATACGTTTGTGTGCAGGTTTCCATGAGGCGGTGGGTGACACGATCGCGCTGTCGGTGTCGTCGCCGAAGCACCTGCGTCGTGTCGGCCTCGTCAGTGGAGACGCGGAGGACGAACAGACTGAAATCAATCAACTTTATAAAATGGTTAGTTTTTTGCAACGGGTTTGTATGAGCAGGACACTGGTATTAATAGAATTGGTGTAACCTAAACAGATGAGTACGTCTAACTTATGTTATATTTAAAAATATCTTATTTAATTTCGTTAATGTAATAAATTTTATAGTTTATTTGGATGGATGGATGTTAGTTTGTAGTCTAAAGTGTTAAACGGATCTCTATGAAGTTTGACATAGATGTAGAGGATTGTCTGGAAGAACACATAGGCTATTTTTTTTAATGTCATGCAAACGGAGTCGCGGGCGACTGCTAGTATGTATGCTCTTCCAGACTATAATTTACATCTCTATTAAAATAATTCAGAGTATAGCATTTGCAGAGTTATGTAATAAATATCCATCCATCCAAATTTTCACATTTACAATAGGAAGACTAAACGTTTTTTGAACGTTTTGTATACCTTTCACAGACTACAAATTGTACTATTTCCCCAGGGTATAGATAAGATAGTGTTCCTACCTTTCGCGTACACATTGGATTTGTTCCGTTACGGCGTGTTCCGCGGCGAGACGCAGCCGGAGGACTACAACTGCCACTACTGGCGGCTGCGCGAGGCGCTGCAGGGCGTGGAGCCTCCCGTCAACCGCACTGAGGAGGACTTTGATGCGGCTGCCAAGTATCATGTGTCAGCTGATGTGGAATATGCTAGGTAAGTTGTGAAGAAAGATATGTTTGTCCTTTTCTGTCTTTGTGTAAACCTTAAGTGGCGATGGGACTAATTCTGGAGTGTCCAGGAGATAGAGCATCGTAGCGATCTTTGGTTTTATCGCTACTAGTGTCCTGGGCGAGATATCTACCGCTTGTTTACCAGTTTTTTGCGGGGTTTTGAATCTTAGACCACGTGATATCTACCATATAATATTAGAATATTTTTATTCATTTATGTAAGTATACACAACAGCAGTATTTAATCACATAATTACACAGGAAAATAGAAAACAAGTATACACAAAAAGGATAAATGTCACAACAGCTGCATCACTACATTACCAGAACAGTACAGTTAATTTTAATAAATTGTTAAAATGTATGCGCTTCAAGTATTACTAGTAGAAGAACTCTTACTAGACCTATTAAGAAATAAGTTATGTTTATAGTTTAAATATTTATTAATACGAATTAATAATTTACTTACTTTAATTACTAATATTACATTTACATAATTCCAAGCATAATAGAAATGATTGTACAAAATATTCACTAAATGTTTTCAGATACTACGTGTCGTTCATCATCCAGTTCCAGTTCCACCGCGCGCTGTGCCAGCTGGCGGGCGAGTACGTGCCCGAAGACCTCACTAAGAAACTGGTCGACTGCGACATCTACCAGAGCGTTGCTGCGGGGAACGCACTCGCGTGAGTAATATTAGTTTTGTTTTCAACGCCATCTAGCGGATTTTATTTTAATTTTTGGTGTTCAGGAAGATACTAAAACTCTGAAAATCTTTTCTCAATGGTATTAGCGCCATCTATTAGGAAACCGTGTTTTAAAATAAAACAAATTAAAAAAAGATTATATAAACATAATGCAATATAAACATTTATCGTACACACGTCAGCCACAAATAGAGATTTGTCGTTATTAACAATGTCTTATAGCATATATTTTAACTAAATAAATCCCAAATTAAATCGCCATATATTACTTAATCATATCTTTTAGAGATTAATTATATTTATATGAATTTTGATCCATGAACACATAGCGTTATGATTATGTGAAAATTCAAGTAGTCTTGATTTGAAACCCTGCGACTCACATTGCCATCTAGCGGACGGATAATGTTTTAATATTTGAATCTCTTTGGTTGCTATGCACAGTGCCATCTAGCGGACGGGACATGTTTTAATCTCAACTTGTATTCCAGCAACATGCTGAAGATGGGCTCGTCGCGGCCGTGGCCTGACGCGATGGAGGCGCTGACCGGACAGCGCGCGATGCGAGCTGACGGACTGCTGGAGTACTTCAGGCCGCTGCACGACTGGCTGCGAGCTGAGAACCAGCGGACTGGAGAGTACATCGGATGGGAATCTAGTAAAATACGTAAGTATAAAATTGGAGAGTATATACGTAATGTCGAAAGGAAAATAACGGATTTCGCGAAGATATTATATGTGCATTGCTAATAACGAAGAGGCATTTAATTTTACTTTTGTCTGTCGGTCTGTCCGCAAGCCTTATTTTTCCTAGGTAATCTTAGAAATGCCTGGGTTAATTTTCATGAGGCTTTAACTAGAAAGTACATCTAGTACGCGGGAATGTTTAGACGACTTTTTTTAACTCCGTGCTAACGAAGTTTGCGGACGAAAGCTCACATTAATTGGTGAACGACACAACAAAACTTTTTTCATGTTTAATATTTATTTGACTATTTGATTTGTTTAAATTCTTGTCATGACAATTAGTAAGTTTTTAATATGTATGATGTTTTATGACAGAGTACTGCACGGGCGAGCAGCGCGCCGCGCTGGAGGCGGACGCGCGCGACTCGTGACGCCACTCGTACTTACCTTAGTCTAATTTATGTAGGCGAACCTATACATTAAACATTTTTAACATAAACATACTTTTATTACCTAACTTTCCCTCTACGATTTAATCTATTGAAAGAGTAAATGCAACTATTAAAACTATAATAAAAAAGTTTCACCGTTTACACAGAGTAGTTTAGAGCAGAGTGGATAGTTTGAACTTGTGTTGATATTAGAGAGTAACCTATGTAACTACTCTATGATGATCTTTCGTTACCTAACCTTGAATTTTATTTAACATTTTATATAGGTTTCGGAATAGACGCATTATTAATTTTGCGTTATATTATAAACAGGTCAAATAAAGTGCAAAATAATATCAAAAACGAACTTGTACTTGTCACCAAGGTTTACTTGTTGTTTAATTTTATAGACAAAACAAACTTGATTCTATAAAGATTACTATAATTGAATTAATAGAATTGCATATTTGATTAAAATATAACTTTAAAAAAATTGGTCCTTACGACCTTGGAATAAAGTTCAAAATTCTTTGGAGTACTGATTTGCTGTTACAATGTACAAGGAAAATTGTAAACAAAACATGCGTCCCCTGTCCCAATGTCACGTAAATAAAACATCAAGTATAATGTAAGTACCACTTATACTAGTATTTTTATTTGTAACTGCTTATATTTGTAAAGTTATTTTAAACGTCTTATCCACATTATTATCTCAAATTATTTTTTAATTATTATTCATTATAGCTAAACTAAGAACATAGAAATCTTGGTATAGGGGTGGTATAATCGTTGTAGCAGAGGAATTACTTCCATATCTATTCAGAATATCTTGTGTCAAGTATGAATAATATTTTTTATTGCATAGTCAATAAGCTATAATATCTCCTTGGCTCGTTAACTAGATTAAACTATGGGTAAGGAGCCAATAATTTCCCTTTTCGAGTACAATTTACAAATAAATAATTACAACAATAAATACAACTATTGGAGCTTTGCAACTTATGAGAGTTATCTGTAAAAAAATTAAAAAAAGGTCGTAAAGACAAACGAACATCAAAACAAAACACTAACATAGAATACAAATAAGACAAAGAGTGCGGTTATCATTGAATAGTTGATAAATATCAACATTATCCGGTCCTGTGTAGTTTGATGTCTGGCGTCGGCGGGGAAGGATCAAACTGTGGTAAGCCATCTTATTTTACTCTCTGTATTGGTATCTCTGTTCTTTTACAGATGATGAAAGAGATAACAAAATTTTGTGAGTTTACAGAACAAACGCATGATTTAAAACGCAGTTACGATTTTGTTTTGCTGAGGTTTCATTAAAACGATTGACAACTGTTTTTCTAGTCTCGTTTAATTGTGAAAATATCCTACTAATTTGTAATTTATGGTATTAATGTTACCTTCTGTATACAATAATTATTTAAAATAGTCAACAGGAAAAACTCCCGGAACCTAATTACAATATAAAGCAGTGACCATAATTGTGATGATAGATGAAGGAAAAATAATCGGGAAGAATTTGCTTCATTGTTTTAAAAGTATCTTTATATCGCACTCAAGGTCTATAAGTGATAGTCAGGGAAGTTCCTTAGTGTAATTTTAGCATGAAAAATCTATACTTAGCGAAAGTTTAAGATACCACCAAACAGAAATATTAAATAGTTAGCAATACTTTGAATAATGAATGGTTCGTCGTATTTGTTACTATGTCAATTATTGTATTGAATATACAAATAACGTAAAGATTAGTACATGTTTATGACATCCTTCGATATTTTGCCGAGGATAGCATTATGCAAAATGTACTAAGTAATAAATGAAGAACTTTATGACAGTAAGAAAAGGTAGGTCAATTATTTATTGATCACTAGCTTTTGCCCGCGACTCGTTCATGCGGAAATAAAATAAAGTTAATCAGTAACATATATCGTCTTCCAAAGACTTTCCTTTCCTTTCCTTCTGTTTCTATTCCTTTAGATATATTTTCATGGTATTGGTTACATAACATCATCCAGTCGAAAATTTGTTTCGGCAAACACATTATATGTTGACAAAAGATTTCAAATTCCTAACAAGCATAAGAGACAGACCAACGTACTAATTCATTTACATGTAAATAAGCTTACAGCTGAGAGAATGTTCAGTTTGCTTCTGGAATTTGTTAGAGTCTGTGATTTTTTTGATATTTTAAAAATAAAATGCCTTGTGGATATTGTAGTGATACAGCAAAGAAAGTATTGTTTGTGAGTTTTTGTTTGAGATAAATTTTCCACTTATATAATAAGAAAAGATTTGTATTTTTGTATTATTGGAATAACTCAAAAATTACTGGGCCGATTTTAAAAATTCTTTCACCGTTAAAAAGCTACATTATCTGTAACATAGACTATGTTATTTTTTATTTCACGGGAACGAAGTCGCAACAGCTAGTTTACTACATATGGATTTGAATTCCATAATAATTGGACGCCAGTTTTTTCTACTATTCAGTTCTTTTCATTTCTATTTTTATGATCGACATTTCAAGTGATGGTATATATCTGATTATCAGTTTATTGATAAGATGTTTAAATATTCTGTAACACTTTACGTCTATCTGTCAGTCAAATTGATAACATTTCTCAATACCTAAATCTTATTGCTTTAGGTAATCTTCGAAATATGGTTTTACTATTTTTGCCCGCGACTCCGTCTGCGTGGAATTAAAATAAAAGAAAAGTGGTTAAGTGTTCTTCCAGACTAATCTCTACATCTATACCAAATTACATAAAAATCCGTACAGTCGTTTAGGATAGAAACTCAAACAAACATCCATCCATATAAACTTTCGTATTTATAATATTAGTATCGTATGATTAAAAAGGGACGATGCATGCACATCCTTTTTTACATCGCTTTTTAAATTAACATGGATATGGTTATACAAATGTAACTGTTATGGTAGTTAACGTAAACGCACCGATTACCGCCAGTTTAAGCGTTCTTACTGATGTTAGCAACCACTTCTGTAACTTTAATTGCATGAAAATATTAGTTTTCTTAATAGGTAAAAGAGGTTTAGGCTAAGCGCCATCTGCGCTGGGCCACCTCAAGCCCGGTGAATCTGTAAATGCCTGTTCAAGCCAAACAGTGACAACTCGGTCACAAAAAAAAAAATCTTAATAGGGCGGTTACAGGCGCGGATTTTGTGGGGTCGTTATTAGGTGCGTTTACGTTACTATTAGTTTTTATTTATTTAAATAATAGCCTAGTGGGAAAATATCTATTTGTAGTAAATCGTTGATCCAAATAAATGCCTTGACACGAATGTTTTTGCTAAAGCAGTTGTTTATTTATGCTAAGACTTCTTTGTTGACTGCTGAGTCGTTTATTGTGATTACCGCATATAGTGCCATATTTCTGATAACGGAGAGTAAGCAGTATTAATAAATTAAGCAATCGAATTTATTTAGCTTGCTGGAAAATAATCGTGTAATTAGTTAAACAAATAAAACTTGAATTTAACATCTTTTAATTGAATAATTCTTGTATTATATGTGACTAATATTGTCTATTTCTTCACAGATGATGTTGAAGATCCTAGGAGAGTTAGCCCTAGTTGGGGCCATAGCCTCAGTGTTTATAGTAGCGGCGCAGGGCCGCGCGGCGGAGCGGGCGGCTGAGGAGGCTTCGGGGCGGGACTATATGAGGAGTCTGGATGAAATGACGTCAAAAGCATTGAACAGGAAGACCATAGCTAGCTGGAATTACGAAAGCAATATCACAGATTATAATGAACAAATACAGGTAAGATTACGTGAATTTTAGGTGAGACCTATTGTTAATATATTGCTTTTTCTAAAAGAATAAGATGGAGAGAAATGTATCTTTAACATCGTATACACTTTGTGGTATCTAATAGCAACGTAACGGTCAAACTGATTGGCTTTTATAACTTAGCTAGGAACCTTTTATATAGTTAAAGACTGACATCATTTGCTTTGCTAATTTTAAGGCGATACATTTAAAAACAGTTTGACATGCACCGATTATCGTTTCAAACCATCTAAAATCGACGTAGGTAATACAAATCTATATTAATATTATAAAGAGGAATGATTTATATTTTTGTATGAATATAGGGTATTTGTAACAACAGGGCCGATTATATACATCAACAAAGGCAAAGGCTGTATTTTTTATTATTTTTAGTGGTTGATAATTATCAAGATAACGTTAACATTTCAGACGCAAGTTTTCTTAGAAGTTGCGGAAGAACAGAAAGAATACTGGAAAGAGACGATGACGTATTTGTGGCGAGAGTTCGAAGATGAGGACCTGAAGAGGATGTTCAAGAAATACTCGCAGTTAGGCACAGCCGCACTACCCGAGGACTTGAACCAAAGGCTTATACAGGCTGTCAATAATATGCAGGCCACTTATGCGAAAGCTACAATTTGCGATTACAAGGACAGAAGCAAATGCGACTTGCATGTTGAACCTGGTAATAAACTTAGGGTACCTTTGACTAACTATCGGACAACTGTTGTATGATTGTCGATTGTTTCGCAGCCATTCAACTATTTAGTTGCACAACTAAAATGGAGTAGTGTGCGCACCCCCATATAAGCTTATAGGAATCAAACCGAGAAAAAACAGCTGTGGGACAGTTTAGTCAAAGGTGTGCGCGCGTTCCAACAATGCAATACAGTATAGAACAATACAATATAACGTGAAAGAAGCTTAGAAGGAAGTTAAGTCTGACTTCACGGCTGATAGAGATGTATGGAATAGTACACACTGCGCTGACAAAGACAAGCTGATGCAGATTGAAACATTTTGGTTAACAGTAATCTCAAATAATTCCAGATGTGACGAACATCTTCGCGGAGAGCCAGGACGCAGAGGAGCTGAAGTACACGTGGGTGGAGTGGCACAAGGCGGCCGGCGCGCCCTCGCGCGGCAACTTCACTGAATACGTGCAGATGAACAATGAAGCGGCCAAGTTGAATGGTATATATCATTTTTTAAGACGTTTAATATTGAAAATGGCATTAAACTCCAAAAATGTAACTAATTCAAATACTTAGAGCTACTGATGCCGCCAGAATGGCGCGTTATTCCAAAACCTCTGAATGACATTGACAGCTGACAGATAGGGACGGTACGTACATGCCAATAATCTAGTGATGCGCCAATCCTCCAGCGCAGTACTGATTTTCTTCTTAACAATATAAAAAAAACTCTTTATTGGACAAAAACATTTTGACAAAATTAATTGGGGCTCTGTCTCCTGAAATAATTATAACAATTGTATAAATATTGGTCTTGTACAATTTTCTTCTTTGAAGTAAAAAAAAACATTGTGACATCGCTAGTTAATGGTTACTTACCTAGACCTTTGAGCATTTCCAGTGGCTAGGATAGAATAAACTGTACAATATTTTAAACCAGACAAAAACGAGGTCTGTCGATGAGCCCATGGTTTTAAGGGTACTAGGGGTACTACTCTAAGGGTAAAACTGCATGCCTGCAGGCTACGACACGGCCGCCGAGTGGTGGCTGAGCGAGTACGAGCAGGAGGACAGCGAGGAGCAGTTCGTGGCGCTGTGGCGGCAGCTGCGGCCGCTGTACCGGCAGATACACGCCTACGTGCGCCGACACCTGCGCCTCCAGTACGGCGACAGCGTCGTGCCCGCCAGGGGACCCATACCGGCGCATCTCCTGGGTAGGATTGGAAGAATTCCTAATACACTTATACGCAATCAAAGATAACCAAAGTATAGCAAATTCTTCTCTTACGAAACATCTAAGTGACTCTCCCTTCAGATTGAGATGAACCGATCAGTGACAAACAAACCGCGCGCGTAAATAATTTTTAACAAGCCAAGTGCTTCCGAATCCTCTTATACTCCGGTCTCCGATGGCGAGGAAACGTCGGACAAAAAAAAAAACAAGAAACAAGATTTCGTAAGAGTAGACTATAAGGTAACTGCATGACGTCATTCATTGACAACAAATTCAATTATTTCAAGATCATTGTCATTACAAGACTTGTCTAAAGGTTACATTGTCTTAAATATTAGTGTAATCATGTAAATAATGTTTTAAATTGTCTAGGTAATATTTGGGCGCAAACTTGGGGCGGTGTGGAGAAATTCACTCGACCATATCCTGACAAACCAGATGTGGATGTGACCGCAGCCTTGATTAGCCAAGTATTTCAATTTTAAAGTGTTTAATTGATTATTTCATCAAATATCTGTTAATATTAACTCAATATTGTATTCCAGAACTACACAGCTCTCAAAATGTTCAAAACCGCGGAGGAGTTCTTCACTTCATTGAATCTAAGCGGCATGCCCGATCTCTTCTGGGAGAGGTCAATTATAGAAAAGCCCACAGACGGTCGGGACATGGTGTGTCATGCTTCCGCTTGGGACTTCTTTGATAGCGAAGACTTTAGGTGAACCACAATTCCTTACAAGCTCATAGAAAGTAGTAAAAAAGTAATAAAATAATTTTTTTGTTAATTAAACGTCAACTCAACTTCAAAATCGCTTTGCTCAGTCATAATGGATTGTAAGTTCCTGAAATCGACGGAGGAGGAGACGTACATAAAGAGTATATTTAACCTTCCTAAGCGTCTCTTCCACCACCAAATCCACTTTTCCTTCCCATCCATCAGTTATAAGTAAAGGCTGGTAGAAGAAACGGAATTTACTTATACTTCCGGCACCATACCTATCAAATTGTTAGCAAGGTTGCTCCCACTTCAGGCTTCTCTTGAGTCGAGCTCTTCGTGCAAAGCTGTTGAAGTAGACTACACTGTTAATACTCCTTCCAGAATCAAGCAATGTACGACAATAACGAAGAACTTCTTCCTGACGACGCACCACGAGATGGGCCACATCCAGTACTACTTGCAGTACAAAGACCAACCTGTCATATACAGGGCCGGAGCTAACCCGGGTAATATCGAGCTTGGTATATTAAAATGACATATTCTTACTTAACTTAATTAATTTCAAATCCAATATAAGTCTGAGACATCCTGTTTGTTTTTTATTATTTTGACATGGACTTCTTTTTGTCATAAATATATATTTATCTAAGAAAACTTATATTTTTAGGTTTCCATGAGGCCGTAGGTGATGTGATGTCCTTGTCCGTGTCGACACCAAAACATTTGAGAGTGATGGGTTTGTTAGAAGACGGTCCTGATGATCTGGAGTCAAACATCAATCAACTTTATAAAATGGTAAGGTATTATATTTACGTTTTTATTAAAGCGTGTCGTCAGTGTAGGTTTTTCATTATAGAAAGAATTATTTAAAAACATGTGATTGCTGACATCCTATGCCACGGGGTAGTGTATGTTTACGTTTTATTAGTTTAGTGTCAATATGTAGATACGTGTTTATTTATATTATAAGGTTGCAAAGGAGCAAGCGGCCACCTAAATCTATCGATATGGCGAAGCGAGCGCTGCCCAAACATTCCCAATTGCGGACGCGTTGTCTACCCTTATCTACGGAGGAGGAGACGCACATAAACAGGATATTTCCCCTTCGCGTCTCCGCGTCATATCTTTTCCTTTCCGTCCTTTCCTTTTAAGAAAAGGATGGAAAGGAAAGGGGACTAAAACTATAGAAGTATACATATAGATAGATAAATAAACACTAACATCCTTACAAATAAACGCGGTATAAAGATAAGGTTTGAAATAAACTGAGAATAAGGGAATTTTATACTAATAAACCAAGAACACGTTACACCAAGAATTAAGTCAACGTTTCTGTTCATACAAAATTTATTTTTGGGGGGTTAACGAAGTCTAGTTAAAGCCCGGTATAACATTTTAAATACAACGGTAATCAAATTTTAACAGTGGTAGTGTCCGCTTTAACATCTTAGCACGAATGGGCCGACACGCCCGGTGTAATACCATGACCACACAGAAAACAAGCGTGAAGTGGAAGCAATTCCGCATTTCGTCTGATGAGTGTGGTGCCGGAGGCCTAATTTTAGTCCCTTTCCCTTTCCACCCCTTTCTTAAGAGGAAAGGATGGGAAGGGGAAGTGGATTTGACGGTGGAGGAGATGCATAGAAAGGGGAAATATCCTCTTTATGTGCATCTCCTCCTCCGTCGTATAAGGGTAGGCGACGCATCTGCAATTGCGGATGTCTATGGGCAGCGGTCGCCTCGCCATTTTGGCGGATTCTAGTGGCCGCTTGCTCGTTTGCCACCTTATGTAAAAAAAAAAAATTACGTTTGATTCGTCCCAGGGTTTAGACAAGATAGTGTTCCTACCGTTCGCGTACGCGCTGGACCTGTTCCGCTACGGCGTGTTCCGCGGCGCCACGCCCCCGCCACACTACACCTGCCACTGGTGGCAGCTGCGCGCGGCGCTGCAGGGCGTGCAGCCCGCCGACACGCGCAGCGAACAGGACTTCGACCCCGCGGCCAAGTACCACGTAGCTGCTGATGTCGAATACATGAGGTACTCACATTCATACTTTGAGTGCCACTTTAGATCGTTTTTGCGGTATCTTTAATTTAAAAAAGTAGATTTAGTTATGAGTGAGGTACACTGCTGACATGATGAAGAGAGTGACTGTGATGACTGAAGAGTTTATTGGAGGATGAAAATCCGGTGTCGACATTACGGGAGTAGCTGAAGGTAGAGCAGATGATGATGATTAGTAAATTCGTTGTAATATTTGTGCAAAAAGTATTAAAAAAATAATAATACCATTCCAACTCCCCCATGTGCTCGCCCGGCGCCAACCACCTTGTACTAGGATATGCTTTACAACACTAGTCGAAGGGCGGAATTCGTACCCTAGCTTACCCTACCCTAGCTTTCGCCCGCAACTCCGTTCGCGTGGAATTAAAAAACAACAACCAAAGCGAGTAGCCTCTGTGTTGTTTCAGACTATCCTCTACATGTCTACCAAATTTCATCGAAATCTGTTCTGCCGTTTAGGTTACAAACTAACAAACATCCATCCATCTAAACTTTCGCATTTATCATATTAGTATAATGTTTTTCAGGTACTACATATCGTATATAATTCAATTCCAATTCCATCGCTCGCTGTGTCAGCTGGCGGGCGAGTACTCGCCGGGCGACGCCAGCAATCTGCTCTCCAACTGCGATATCTACAAGAGCACGGCCGCAGGAAATGCTTTAGGGTAAGAATCCTAAATAAGGTAGTACCTACTGACAAGCATGTTTGCATAAATATAGGAGAAAGTATTCTGCTACAATTTTATGAGACTGTATTGGTTCCTAAAGTAATCCAAATTGATATCTTTAGGGCTGTAAAACCACAGACTGCACGATGGTGTGAAATTATATACAGGATTTAGTAGTTAAAGGAGAAATATAGGCTAAGTCGTAACTAGTGAAATTTTAACCTACTAAGAATTAATTTTTAGTATAGTAAAATTGTTATCATCTTTTTTCGTAAGTTTGGGTGTTTAGTTAATTATTAGCCGTTCTAAAATGAAATTAATTCAATATTTTTAGTAAAATGCTACAACTCGGCTCATCGAAGCCATGGCCCGATGCGATGGAAATGTTGACGGGTCAACGTAAGATGGACGCGAGCGGCGTGCTGGAGTACTTCCAGCCTCTGCACGACTGGCTCAAGGCCGAGAATGAAAGAACCGGCGAATACATCGGATGGGAACCGAGTACAGTCCGTAAGTATACCACTCAAAAATATACAAAAACTATTATTTGTGTTTTAAGATTTTTTTTTATAATGTAAGGTGGAAAACAAGCAAGCGATTACCTGTATCCGCCAAACTGGCGAAGCGACCGCTGCCCATAGACATCCGCAATTGTAGATGTGTTGCCTACGCTTAATCGACGAAGGTGGAAACGCTCAAAAAGAGGAAATTTCCCCTTCCTGTGCGTCTCCTCCGCCGTCAAATACACTTTCCTTTCCTTATAAGAAAACGGTGGTAAAAGACTGACTAAGGACTTTAATTAGGCCTCCTGCACCACACTCATCAGACGAAACGCGGAATTGCTCCCACTTCACATCTTCTGTGTAGTCGTAATTTTGTTCTTGCGATGAATTTCTTGAACTTGGATTTAATGACAAAGTTAAATGAACACTGAAAAATGTATGGATGGATTGTATGCTTAAGAAAGAAGTGGATTTAGATATGACGGCTGATAAAAATGGAAGCAACACATATTGTTCCGAACCTCTTTAGGACAACTTGATGATACTGTTTTTTTTTTTCAGAATTCTGTACAGAAGAGCAGCTATCACTAATGGAGGGATCAGAATTCAAGAAGACATTGGACAAACTCAATGCTTAATATTTTATACTGTTATGTAAAAATTGTTTAAATAAAACGACTGTATTACAATTCAAGCTTTTTATTTCCTTGTTTCTTACAATTATAATGCGTCACTTTAACCCTTTGGCATTTAAACCGTTATTTGCTATAACATAAACCTGAGATTTCGCTTACTTTTTTAATTAAATTAATATCAAGCATTAATGACAAGATTTTAAAAAAATCTATTTATTAAAATTAGTAGTCGCGAAAAAAGTAAATAAAAAGCAAAAATGTAAAACAAAGTTAATAGTGATATTATTTTTTTTCTATATGTTTTTGAAAAGTGTTTCCTTAATTTGTAAAAAACCGGAAGATTTGTAAAAGTGCATCTCATTTGAATCTTTATCCATCAAGGATAATTTATGATAAAATATTAAAACACAAACACATTTGCAAACAATAGAAGGTAATTACTTAATTTTGTTTCATGATTTATGACTTATCTATAAAGATAAATATATGAAGATTCATCTTAAGATAAAGATTTTCCATAACATATGAAAATACTCATAATAGTTTTTTATAAGTTCTTTATGACTATAACTTTCGTTTTTGTAAACTCTAAATTTAAAACTGAAATAAAAAAAAATCACAGACATTCAACACATACAAAACATATAGACTGGGCAATACTTTATTACTACGTACTAATGTAGATCATAAAAGTTTTTCTAGCGAAATGTTTTATTTGTCTCTTCTATTTCCGATTCATTTAAAACTCTTTATTAAAATCAAACAGAACATTAATTTAAATCTGATTATTTATAGCTATTAATGATAATGAAGTAAAAAATAATTATTTTAGTAATACGTCACAATCCATGACAAAGCGAGTCAACCTTGGTACTGGCAATTACAGTTTGTAATGTAGCCAGCCGTGCGCGCACTGCATAGATATAATGTTGCTTAGACTTCTACCTTGCTGATAAATCTATAACAATATAAGAAACTAGCTGTTGCTCGCGACTTCGTAAAAAATAATAAAAAAATATAGTCTATGTAACTCATAGATAAATTACCTTTCTAACGATGAAAGATTTTTTTAAATCGGCTTAGTAGTTTTTGATTTATTTCAATACATAAATAAATACAAATCTTTCCTCTTTATAACATTAGTAATGATACAGTTCGTTCGTCTGTCTGTACAACTAGTCAATTATTACATATTTGAAAATCTACGCTAAAACGACACCTAAACCAACATATGCGATACGTTTTCTTGTCAATTAAGTGACCTAAGAAAGATTATCGTACTCAGAGTCATTAAATCATCACTAAATAATAAATAAAAATACTTTTATTGTTGTCACAAAAACAGTTTCTTATGAGCCAAATAAAAAAAAAAGTTAAATCGACAACAATGGGCTGCGGGCTCAGCGTGGACCGCATGACCTAAGCCATGCGGAGCTGGTTTTCAGCCTGTCCCGGAGGGCAGCGTTGCGACAGTTCAGTGGTGCCCAT